CCCCGCCCCTCCCGCCCACCGCGCGGGCGCGCGCCTGCCTCCCGGGGAGCCGGGGGCTGCCCCTTGCGGCGCTCCTAGCCGCTGGGTGTCACCGAAGCGCCCACGTTCCGCACCGCTCGGCCCCCGGGACCCCTACCCAGCAGAGCTGGCCCTCCGGGATCTGACCGCCTGCTGCAGCTTCTGGTCGGCACCCACCTCCTCCCGCCAGGGGCCAGCTGGCCACGTCCCAATCTCCAGCCCCGGAGGGCCGGCTCCCAGGCCTCCCTGCCCCACCTGGGCTCCTTGCGGGAGGCAGGTTCCTTGCAGCCCAAGTAGCAGAAGGCCAAAGAGGAGGAAGAAGAGTAGGGGGGACCGCGAGGTGCCCAGGCCGGGCCCCTGGCGCCGTGTAGGGAGAGAATGTTGGCCAGGTGGACGCCCTGCATAGGAAGCCCCTGAGCTCACTGGAGGGGAGAGATTCCCCAGGACCCCGGGGGTGGGTGTTCTAAATAACGCTGCTTGGATGAGAAGCTGAACAGAGGAATGGGCGTTGATGGGTTTCCTCCCCTAGAGTCTGAAAGAACTGCATCATTGGCATTCAGGTTCACACTAGCCCGATTCAAGGACCGAGTTTCTGGTAGGGCAGCCTGGTCTTTATAGTACACTGAGATTTTCCGTCGGTGGAAAATGGGGAAGGGAATTATGTTTAGTTTGTGGGATTAGGAAGCGCAACGTTGTGACTGACATCTGTCATGGGAAGGAGAGAAGCATGGCCTAGACCTAGACCCTACTTAGGATGCTGCCATGGCCTTTGTGGCTGGGAACTCGCCACATTCCAGGTGCTAAAGTGGGAGATCATTCTGCTACTCCTCTCTCTGTAGCTTGGTACTTACACTTATTTCTCTCTCTTTTTTTAATACCTGGAATTGAACTCACGATCTCGCGCTTGCCAGGCAGGCGCTGTACCACTGAGCTATATCCCCGGCCCGATTCTTATCTCCTGTTTTCAGAAATTTTAGCAATCCAATGTCAGTGAGCCTTAAGCTTACAAAAATCTGTCGCCTACTGCATCATTCAAATCCTTTACAAGGGGAACTATTGTCTAGACAGCTCCGTCCAAAATGAGCTGACGATTCATTTTGAAGTAGAAGTGATTCATGGTCATTGCTTCATACCATCACTCTCAACCATAAGGCTCTAGATCTTTCTAAGGAAACTAGATCTTACCAATTTCTGCTCTTATCGACTATCGATGTGCCTTAGAAATAGTGGTAACTCAGTATATACTTGTTGAGTTGAATTCCCCAAGTGAGTCTTTGCATTTTTATCTGTTCTGGAGGGGCAAAATTTCTTTTTTTCTTTTTCTTTCCTTTTTTTTTTTTTTTTTGAGCCTAGGACTCTATTAGGATTCCTGGAATAAGAAGTAAAGGCAAACCAGTTATCCCCAAATGGCTTTTCTGATCGCAAAAAGTGCCCATGTTCTTTACTTTTTTTTTTTTTTCTTGTCTTTTACTTCATATCCAGCTCAGTGCTGGACACTGCAGGCGTAACACGTTGGAGACTGTAAAACTGGGCAACAGTGTAAAACACTCTCACAAAACTCCAGAACAATGCATTGTGTGACATTCACCTCATTACCTTACATATGTATATTTGAGCTGGCAATTAGGGTAGAGGTATAATCATTAATATATTTAAATCCAAGAAAGAGACAGGTGCTTGCTGCAAGGATAGCTCATAGAAAGGCAAAGACCCTATTTTTAAAAACCAAATGTTTCATGCACGTCTGTGTCTGATTTAGAAGGTGATTTATTCCTCTCTCTGCAGGAATTAGTACTGAAATTAATATTAATCAATGGCAAGGAAGACCAGAGCAGAGGATGGTCCTATGATGGATGGTCAGAAGCTTCTCCCTGCTGTGAAGTATCTCTTCTCCATAATGAATATTTCCATTCCTTTTATGTATTTCTCTCCTCTGGAAGACTTTGATTATGAGCTTCTTCTTAGGACAGCCCTCACTTTATATTTGAGGCCCAGAGAAGTTTAGCAATTTGTTCAGTTTGTGTAGCTAGTTAGTTGCAGAGCTGGGCCTAAAATCTTGGATCATTTCCAAATCTAATGTTTGCTTTACTGTATCACACTGTGAAACTCTTATGTTGATCACCCTGAGTATTTAATAAACTAGATTTCAAACAGCAGTCTATTTGCTTCTGATTGCTGACTAGTTCACTTCAATTCATATTTATTTTAACAGAAAACCACTGCCTTCTGAAGGCAGCTCTACTGTTTATAGGAAATGAGTTGGTGGGTGCATTCCAGCCCTGTTGGACAGCAGAACCCATCACAACAAATCATTGTCAAAAATGGCACTTCAGGGGTAGAACAAATACCATTTATTTAGTACCCCCCATGGAGTAACTCAAAGTGATTTGAAAATGTCTCATTAATCCTCACGACACCCCTGTGGGATAATAATAATATTATTATAATGTTTAAGTATAGAATCGTGGCAAAGCAAGCAGCTTCTCTGAGCATGTGCAACAGTTACCTCATATTTCAGTATTCAATATTAGAGTCTAAGAAAAACCACTAGGTTTGCAAACAGCCAGGGTAAATCTCTATGTTTGGCCTTTCTCTGTGGCTCTGAGCATAGCCTGGGTTTCTTACTGACCACAACAAAAATAGAGCCCCAGTCGCTTGCCAGATGGTGAGCAGCATCTGGGATTAGCCCAGAAGTGTTTGAGACTGCAACAAGACAGGGCTAGAAAACCTAATTCACAGCTATAGATAAATGAATGGAGAAGAGCACTTACTATGTCCTAGATAGTGTGTCCCAGGAACTTTACCCGTAGACCTTGTCCTCAGTAGGCTTACACAGAGCTGAGTATTAGGATATAAACTCATGAAAAATTTTAAAATGCCATTAGTTAACAATACAAAACAATAGCATAGAACTGTCATAAGACACCATATGACCATTATGTCCATTCTAACCAAGCTGATTGCCTTGCTGTTTATCAACTATGCCAATGTGGTTCCTCTTCCAGGGCTATTATAGTTGCTTTTGTTGTTGCCTGAAATATTCTTTTCTAACACTTTGAGTCTCCACTCAAAATGTTACTTCATCAAAGAGGTGGGCTTTGACCTAAATTTTTGAGCTGGTGATTAGGGTAGTACTGCCACCTGATTTCAAATACTGCCCTCCTTATCTAGTTTCTTACCTGCTTTAGTTTTATCTTATTGCATTTATTTACTTAAGATTGCATTTTATATTTATTTGCTTCATTGCTTATTGTCTTCCTAACAGCAGGTTTTGAGTTTTGATGTCTGTATCTCTTAAATCTTGAACACAACCTGGCACATAGGGAATATACGTGGAACAGGGGAAAGAAAATTCACGAGGCTCGGTACAGTAGGCGAGCCAGCTTTGTGGTATGGAGGAGCTATTTTGGAAAGGTATCTGACCAATTCTGGTTCTATGTCATAGAACAAGCTGGGCTGTGCGGATATGCAAGAATTGCTTTTTTAAAGTGCTACTTTCTTCCCCTGTTTTTCTACCTTCCCTTTTCCTCATCGTTCTGGGTGTGTCCATCTTGAATGCTGGAATTGTACTTTAAACTTCCCACTTGATTTTTTCCTGCAGAAAGTTAAATTTAATATTTATAGAGCTGAACTTTTTATCTTTCTCCCCACACTTGCTTATTTTCCTACTAAAGCTATAATATGGAGTCATCCCCACATCCTTCCTCCCCCACTGTGTCCAGCTGATTACTAAGTGCTTTCTATCCCCCGCCCCAAGTCCCTGTTAACTCTGTCTTCATCTGTCTTTTCTCATGGCCACTGCCCCAGTTCAGGCTGTCATAATAGTTTCATAATAGGCTCCCTGCTTGCAGTCTCTCTTTTATGTATTTTATCCTGCAGGATGTGGGGCTGAGTTATTTCTGTAAAGCATGGATTTGATCACGTTGTTCTCCGTTGCTTCCATGATGGTCACACTTAGCCCTGCCCTGTCATTCTGGCAGTACCTCCACGCCACTCGCTGGTCTGGACAAGTCATCTACTCATCTATTACTAGGTTTTCCCTTGTGCTTGCTGCTCATGCTCATTAGAATTATTCCTGGATGCTCCTAAACATATTTGTCCCATTGGTGAATTCAGTCTTTAAATCCCAGCTCAGAGGTCATCTCTTTTGAGACTTCTACCTTCTCTGTCAGCCATGATTACCACTTTCGAGAAAACTCAATAAAACAGATTGTACACCAGTTCACTGATACTCTTTTTTATCAGAACTCCTATTGTATTTTGCTCATAGCTCCGTTAAAGGCCTTTGCTGTACTATATTTAGGTAGTATGCTATGACCTGTCTTCCCATAAGAACGTGAACTCCATTATGCTGATGGCTAGCATATTGAGCAGCGAATTTGCTGTGCTAACCCAAGCACTGTTCTGAGCATTTTACATGCAATGGCCTCCAACGTCCCTGTCGGACAGGTCATATTACTACTAT